TTCCTGAGCTCAGGTGGTCCTCCTGCCTCAGCCTTCCTAAGTTCTGGGGGATTATAGGCATGAGCCACTGTCTCCATCCTCTTAACTACTATTTCATTATATCTAATGTGTAAAGTGACTGACTTTTCTTTCTGGCTTTATTGTAAAACACGTAACATAAAATCTACCATCTTAACCGTTTTTAAATGTATAGTTCCATGACATTAAGTACATTCACATTTTTGTGCAGCTGTCACCACCATTTATCTCTGAACCATTCAACTCTGAACCTTCCACACTTGAAACTGTGCCCATTAAATAATAATTCCCAATTCACCTGTTCCCTAGCCACTGCCAACCTCCATTCTTTCTGTCTCTATGGATTTAATTACTCTAGGTATCTCATGCAAGTGGAATTATATAGTATTTGTCCTTTTGTGTCTGGCTGTTTCACTTATTATAATGTCTTGAAGGTTCATCCGTGTTCTAGCCTGTGTCAGAATTCCATTTCCTTTTATGGCTGAATATTCCACTGTGGGTGTGTACACATCCTAATGGATGACTATTATAAAAAACTACATGTGGCCGAGTGCGGTGGCTCATGCCTGTAATCCCAGCACTTTGGGAGGCCAAGGCAGGCAGATCACAAGGTCAGGAGTTTGAGACCAGCCTGGCCAACATGGTGAAACCCTGTGTCTACTAAAAATACAAAAATTAGCCAGGTGTGGTGGGGTATGCCTGTAGTCCCAGCTACTCAGGAGGCTGAGGCAGGAGAATTGCTTGAACCAAGTAGGCAGAGGTTGCAGTGAGCCGAGATTGTGCTACTATACTCCAGCCTGGGCAACAGAGTGAGACTCTGTCTCAAAAAAAAAAATACTAAGTGTTGGCCATCCCATGAAGTGGTATCTCTGTAGTTAGGATTTGCATTTTCTTAAGGACTGGTGATGTTGAACATCTTTTCATGTGCTTATTGGTCATTTGTATATAATCTTTGGAGAAATGTCTATTTAAGTGGCAGTCAAGGGGAGGCGGAGTTAAGATGCCCACCTCATACAGTACTCAAATTCAAATGTCTGTTTAGGCCCTCTGCCCCCTCCCCCCCGCCTTTTGTAAAGACAGGGTCTCACTATGTTGCTAAGGCTGGAGTGCACTGATGCAATCACAGCTCACTGCAGCCTCAAACTCCTGGGCTCAAGTGACTTTCCTGCCTTGACTTTGCAGAGTGCTGAGCTGATAGGCATAAGCCACCATGCCTGGCCTTTTGTCCCACCCCTACACTTTTATTTATTTATTTATTTATTTATTTAATTTTTGAGACTGGGTCTTGCTCTGTTGACCAAGCTGGAATGCACTGGCACAATGACAACTCACTGCAACCTGGAACTCCTGGGCTCAAGTGATCCTCTGCCCCAGCCACCAGATTAGCTAGGACTACAGGTGTGCACCGCCACGCTCAGCTAATTAAAAAACCTTTTGTACAGCTAAGGTCTTGTTTTGTTGCCCTGGCTAGTGTTGAATTCCTGGCCTCAAGTGATCCTTCACCTCCCAAACTGCTGGAATTACAGGCAATGAACCACCTCGCCCAGCCCCTTTAGCCCATTTTTAAATTGGGTTTTTATTTTTTGTCAGTAAGTTGTAGGAATTTTTAATATATTCTGGATATTAATCCCTTATTAGATATGTGATTGCAAATATTTTCTCCCATTCTGTGGGTTATTTTTCCTTTTCTTGATGTCTTGGTTATTTTTATTCTTTTTCTTTATCAAATGAACTTTTAAAAATAACAAACCTGAAATCTTTCTTTTCTGAGTGTCTGTAATTACTTAATATTTTACCCCACACCTCATTTCTCCGCAGATACAGAATCATACTTGAGAAGTTTAACAGGGATGTTTGAGCCATGGGCTTTTAAACTGGCCCACACTTTTATTTGTAATGAAGTTTTGTTAGAACATCGGCACTACATTCATTATAGGTCTATGGGTGCTTTTGTGCTACAATAGCAGAATTGACTGAATTCGACAGAGACCACATAGCCCACAAAAGAGAAAATATGTATTGTCTGACCCCTTAGACAAATCCCTAAGTTATCACGTGTGCTATTACACCACCTCTCTCTGGTTCTCGGCATATCCTTTCATGTTTCATTAGAAGCACTGTAAGAGAAGTGCTGTCCCTCTTAACCACCTGGGCTTTTTTTTTAACCCTTCCTACTTTTTTTTTTTTTTTCCAGACAGGATCTCACTGTCACCCAGGCTGGTCTGCAGTGGCACGATCTCAGCTCATTGCAACCTCCACCTCCCAGGTTCAAGTGATTCTCATGCCTCATCCTCCCCAGTAGCTGGGATTACAGGTGCCTGACACTGCGCCCATCTAATTTTGTATTTTTTGGCAAAGATGAGGTTTTGCCATGTGGGCCAGGCAGGTCTCGAATTCCTGACGTCAAGTGATCTACCTGCCTTGGCCTCCCAAAGTGCTGCAATTACAAGCGTGAGCCACTGCATCCGGCCTACTGTCAGTTGTTTTATTTGTTTTTGGTTCCTTTCTTTGTTTTTTATGGGGGCAGTGGAGTCTCACTTTTGTCACCCAGCCTGGAGTGCAGTGGAGTGTAGTCTCGGCTCACTGCAACCTCCACCTCCTGGCTTCAAGCGATTCTCCTGCCTTAGCCTCCCAAATAGCTGGGATTACAGACGCCTGCTACCATACCTGGATAAGTTTTGTATTTTTAGTAGAGATGGGGTTTCACCATGTTGGCCAGGCTGATCTCGAACTCCTGACCTCAGGTAATCCACCCACCTCAGTCTCCCAAAGTGCTGGGATTACAGGTGTGAGCCACCGCACCCAGCTTACCTTAATTTTTTAAATGAAAATAGTTTGACACTGCATTTTCCCTTAAAATAGTTGTGGATACCTCTAGGAGTTCATAGATTCTACTTTGAGACCTGCTGATTTAGATCTCAGTTTTAGCCCCTGAATACCCTCCTACTTCTTAAGGAGGCTTATATATGTCTCTCCTGTATAAACCATTGTATTGTCTTGAATAGATCCTCCTTAGTGACTAAAATAAATGAGAATTAAGCATAATGCATCCCTAATTGTTACGGAGTTACATCACTGTTTTTTAGTTTCTCTATTGCAGATATTTTGAACTTCTGGCCTGCAGGCCGTGGGAATCCTGTGTGCATGTTTTTTGTGACCCATCCAGTGCCAGTATTTAAATTGGAAGATTTTGTATTAACATCTGGATTGCTGGATTTTCTTTTTTTTTCGTTTTACTTGGATAAATTTACAGGTGCAAGGGTAATTTTGTTATATGTATAGATTGCCTAGTGGTAAAGTCAGGGCTTTTTAGAGTATCTATTACCCAAATAATGTACATTGTACCCATTCCATCATCTCTCATCATCCACCCCTGCCGCCTCTGGATTTTCTTGAGATAGCAAAAATATGGCAGTGATAGGGCTGAGTTTCCTGATAGTCGTAGTCAGCTGGAATTGAGTAGCAGCTGCCCCTTGAAACAGGCAGATGTGTTCTCTTTTTCTGGGTGTTCCTTTTTTGCAGTGTCTTGTTTTACAGAATAAAATCTCATCAGATTTGCTGAGGACATGTACATGCACTTAGGTTATTTTCTGACCTAGAATTAGCTTTTAACTCCAGGGTGATGTTTTTTTCTTTTTGTATAGCTTACTGTTTCTCTAATCCTGCAGATGTATTTCAAATGTCTGATGATCCTTGGATTAGTTTTCAGGTTTGAGAATGAGGCCCTGGACAAATGCTCTGTGTACATGGAAGGGCATATTGGTGATGGGCAGACATTATTTGGGTTCAAGCAGATGAAAATGTGGCCTTTGTGCTTTGCCAACCCTAACTGCCAGATTGCAGAGGACTTTGGTCTGGGTCATCACCTCTTACATTAGCTGCTCTGGCTCTCTCAAGATTAGTTTCTTTAAAGAAATATGCATGTGTGCACTTACACCCATATCCAGGGAGAAATGCTGATAAGTCAGGGGTTCTGATTTAATGTATAAACCTTGAGTTCTGTTTTTTGGTGCCACCCTTACTCACTCTGGATTCTATGGGGCCTCTCTGTAGGCAAATAGGAGGCAGATTCCTTCTAATTCTATCTTAGCTGTAGTCTTCCCCTTGCAAGGATTTCTTTTCCTTCATTTCTACTGTAGCAGTCATCTCTGTTTCATTGCCTTCACATTTTCTAGAAATTTGTTAAAATTTTTTTAACTGGGGCCAGGCACAGTGGCTCACGCTTGTAGTCCCAGCACTTTGGGAGGCTCAGGCGGGCAGATCACCTGAGGTTTTGAGTTCAAAACCAACCTGGCCAATGTGGCGAAACCCGGTCTTTAATAAAAATACAAATCTTTGTCAGGCATGGGGGGGCACGCCTGTAATCCCAGCTACTTGGGAGGTTGAACATGACTGTTGCTTTAACCTGGGAGGCAGAGGTTGCAGTGAGCTGAGATTGTGTCACCACACTCCAGCTTGGGCAACAGAGCAAAACTCTGTCTCAAAAAAAAAAAAATTAATTAATTAATTTGGTTAACCTCCTCTGCTAATCTCGCTGTTGTAGGATTACAGTTTTTAAAAATTCCTTTACTCGAGTTTAGAGGAAGGATTAAGTATATGCAGGTTTCAAACCAGAAACCCTAAACCTCTGGCCTTGTGCAGTGGCTCACGACTGTAATCCCAGCACTTTGGGAAGCTGTGGCAGGTGAATCACTTGAGGTCAGGAGTTCGAGCCCAGTCTGGCTAATATGGTGAAACCTCGTTTCTACCAAAAATGTAAAAAATTAGCCAGGTGTGCTGGCGCATGCCTGTAATGAGCAACAGAGCGAGACTCTGTCTCAAAAAAATTAAATTTAAAAACTGGAACTCCAAAAGGAGATATTGCTATAGTTGTTAATAGCTGAATGCTTTAATTTTTCATATTAGTAAGTTGTAGTGGATGACCAAAGTTACCATAAAATTGTGTTGCCTATAATGTTATTTTCTTTTTTGATATGAAATAGCTGATGACTATCAGCCAGTTCGTCTGTTAAGTAAACCTGGGGAATTGAGAAGAGAATACGAAGAGGAAATAAGTAAGGTAGGTGCTAAATAGTTACTCTTTTTTTGGAAAATTTCTCTGTTGTGTTTTCAGTTTCAGATTTTAATTTAGTTTGATGTGCTCATATAACTAGTATATCTTGAAGTGTAGATACTTTTAATGTATTTTATAAGGACTTTGTTTTTTGCTATAATTTACTTATACATAATTAATGCTCTTATGTGATCATGATCCCTAAGCATTTAAGTATGAAGGAAATTTTAAAATTCTTTTTTTCTAATTTAATCTATACCAGGACATTTTTTTATTTCCCTAAAGTTTTGAGCTTAAAAGAAAGAAAAAGAGTGGCAGATGATGGGTTTAGATGAAGAAAGGTTAAAGGGCTAAATGTGAAGTCCCTAAATAGGAAAAGTACCTAAAAAGTGGTGTTTACAGTGAAGTATTATGTTTTAATTACATATGAAGTTATACATAGAGATTTTTCTCTTTTTTTTGTTAGTCTTCAAAATTTTTTTTGTGATTGTCACTTGTAATACATCTCAGGCTGGGTGTGGAGGCTCACATCTATAATTTCAGTGCTTTGGGAGGCTGAGACAGGACAGCTGTCTTGCAGAATCTGTTTCTCCAGATTTGTACCTCATTTGAGATCATTTAAATTTCTGCCAATTTGTTCCTTTTCTACTTTTCCTATTCTTATTATGGAATATTGCGAGTATACTAAAACATTCAGAGAAGGATTGCTCTTTATTAATCACTTTTAAGGTGGAGGCAGAGCGACGAGCCACCGAGGAAGAAGAAAACAAAGCCAGTGAAGAATACATACAGAGGTTATTGGCAGAAGAGGAAGAAGAGGAAAAAAGACAGGCAGAAAAAAGGCGAAGAGAGATGGAAGAACAACTGAAAAGTGATGAAGAACTGGCAAGAAAGTTAAGCATTGATATTGTAAGTTTTAGGAGAGAACATTGAGGTACGGTCATCCCTTGGTATTTGTTGCAGAATCTGCTCATACAAAAAGTCGGCTACTTGTATTTTCAGGTTCTGCATCCCACAAATACTGTCTTTTCCACGCAGGCTGGTTGAATTTGAGTGTTTGGTACCTGCTGATACGGAAAGCTAACTATTAACATTCTTATTGCTTTGACTGTGGTTTTCGAAGAACAGAAGAGACAGCAATTGCCATAATTAGAAGCTATTGATGACATTTTTGCTTTACTTAATGAAAAATTTTTTTGTATATTGTTTCATATTTGCTCTAATCCAGGTTCTTGGGGTATTTTTTTTGTTTCTTGAGACAGGTCTTAACTTTGTCACACAAGTTGGAGTGCAGTGGTACAATCACAGCTCACTGCAACCTCCACCACCGGCCTCAGGTGATCCTCCCAACCTCCCGAGTAGCTGGGGCTACAATCCTGTGCCATCGTGCCTGGCCAATTTTTTGTGGAGACAGGATTTTGCCATGTTTCCTGAACCGGTGTTGAGCCCCTGGGCTCAAGCCATCCACCTGTCTCGGCCTCCCAAAGTGCTGGGATTGTGGTGTGAGCCACTGCAGGTTGTTTAAAAACTTTTTTTATATGTAGGAAAGCTATTCAGTGAAGAATGAAAGCTTCCTTTTTTCTTCTTCCACCTGTCCACTCCCATTCTTTTTCTATTTATATCAGTCTCTTTCCCCAAAGGTAAACACCATTAACATTTCTTATAACTTTTTTCTTGCCAAGGTGCAATGGCTAATGCCTGTAATCCCAGTACTTTCGGAAGCTGAGGTGAGAGGACTGCTTGAGCCCAGGAGTTTGAGACCAGCCTGGGCAACAAAATGAGAAATTAAATAATGAGCCGAGTGTAGTGGTGCATGACTGTAGTTCCACCTACTGGGGAGGCTGAGGCAGGAGGATCCCTTGAGCCCAGGAATTTGAGGTTCAAGTGAGCTGATCTCACCACTGTACTTCAACCTGGAAGACTGTCTAAAAAAGCCTTTTTTTCTTTATTCACCTAAAAAGGATTACATAAATCGGTCACCCTTTTACTGCTTGCATTTTTGCCACTTGATATATCTTACAGATTTTTCATATTGCTACATGTAGTCAATCTAATTCTCTTAAAGAGTAGAATAATATTCCATTTTATGGAGGTAAATCACTTTTTGAAAGTAAAGCACATTAGCCAGGTGTGGTGGCTCATGCCTGTAATCCCAGCACTTTAGGAGGCCGAGGCGGGCGGATCACAAGGTCAGGAGATCGACACCATCCTGGCCAACATGGTGAAACCCCATCTCTACTAAAATACAAAAAACTAGCTGGGCTTGCTGGCCCACACCTGTAGTCCTAGCTGCTTGGGAGGCTGAGGCAGGGGAATTGCTTGAACCCGGGAGGTGGAGGGTGCAGTAAGCTGAGATCATGCTACTGCCCTCCAGCCTGGTGAGAGAGTAAGACTGTCTCAAAGAAAAAGAAAAGTAAGGCACATTAAATTTTTAGATAATGTATTAAACTTGGATTTTATTCTTCCTGTAGTTAAATTGCTGCCTGTAAGAAAATGAATTTAAGGACATGTGATAAAACACATACTTTAAGACCAGAGGATACAATGGGACCCAGTGGTTTGAAAGAGCCTGGGAGAATAACCTGGGAATTCTTTTAAAATACAAACTCTCATGTTTATTCCAAATATATTAAATTAGGGTCTCTAGGGATGGGACCTAGGGAATACCATCTTCAGAGGCATCTAGGGAAGTCTGAAACATTCAGGTTTCAGAGCCTCTGAAAACAACTTCTCAACTTTCAAACAACAAATATCTTTTTTTTTTTTTTTTTGAGATGGAGTTTCACTCATGTTACCCAGGCTGGAGTGCAATGGCGCCATCTCGGCTCACCGCAACCTCTGCCTCCTGGGTTCAGGCAATTCTCCTGCTTCATTTCAGCCTCCTGAGTTGCTGGGATTACAGGCACGCACCACCATGCCCAGCTAATTTTTTTGTATTTTTAGTAGAGACGGGGTTTCATCATGTTGACCACGATGGTCTCAATCTCTTGACCTTGTGATCCACCCGCCTCGGCCTCCCAAAGTGCTGGGATTACAGGCTTGAGCCACCGCGCCTGGCCTACAACAAATATCTTTAAATATACTTACCATTGAATCGTGTGTGTGTGTGTGTGTGTGTGTATGCACTTAGCAAAATGAGTATACTCAGAATTGAGAATGTTTTTCTTTTTTGAGAAATTCATAATCTACCCAAGTTTTGAGGTTTTTGCCCCTTTTTATGTGTCTTTTTTGAGTAGAATCGCTTTAGAAAGATACATAATCAGGAAACTAAATAAAAGTCATTGACCAATGGAATAATAAATGGAATAGGGAAGAAATTTGTCTAGTTTTCCCATGGTATTATAAGAGTAAAATCTACTCTTATAATTGATATTGTAGAATAATTATTTTTAACTTATTGTTTTATTAAGACAGAGTCTTGCTCTGTCACCCAGGCTGGAGTGCAGTAGCACGATCTTAGCTCCCAGGTTCAAGCGATTCTTGTGCCTCAGCCTCCAGAGTATCTGGGACTATAGGCGCAGGCCACCACATCCTGTTAATTTTTGTATTTTTAGTAGAGACAGGGTTTCACCATGTTGACCAAACCTTGAACCCCTGGCCTCATGTGATCCACCCACCTTGGCCTCCCAAAGTGCTGGGATTACAAACGTGAACTACTGTGCCCAGCCTAGAATACTTTTTAATTTATTTGTGAAAGTTTGGTGGTTTAAGGCCAAATATTCACCATTACCATATATGAACTTTTCCGTGAGGGTAGTAAGAAACTTATGAGACTGGTACAGCAAGTAAATATTTGTGATTTTTATTGATATGCCCTTAAAGTCCAGAATAAAATTATTATTACATGAAACTCTTATTTGAAGTATATCCACAGCTCTTTGACTATGTCCCTGTAGATAAAAGTAATTATATAAAAGTATTTATTAGAAAAATCATCAGGCTGGGTACAGTGGCTCAGACCTGTAATCCCAACACTTTGGGAGGTTGAGGTGGGGGAATCACTTGAATCCAACAGTTGGAGACCAGCCTGGGCAACATAATGAGACCTCATCTCTACAAAACATTTTTAAAATAGCTGGGCATAGCGGCGCATGCCCATAGTCCTAGCTACTCAAGAAGTTAAGGTGGGAGGATTTCTTGAGCCCAGAAGGTTGAGGCTGCAGTGAGCTATGATCGGTCCACTGCACTACAGCCTGGATGACAGAGCAAGACTGTGACTCAAAACAAAACAAAAAAAATGCACCTAGCCTAGCACGGCAGCCCATGCCTGTAGTTCAAGCTACATGGGAGGTGAAGAGGGGAGGTCAAGGTTGCAATAAGCCATGATTGCTACACTGCATTCTAGCCTAGGCAACAGACTGAGACCCTGTCTTTTTTTAAAAAAAAAAAAAAAAAAAAAGAAAAAAGAAAAGAATCAACAGGAATTATCAGCCAGTGAGATTAGCATTATGCCTTTTTTTGTACTTGATGATGTACAGTAAAAATGTAATTAATTTAGACCAACTTGGATGAACTTAGTTTATTCTGATTTTTGCATGGCCAATATTATTCAAAGGATGTATAAAATTTAAATGTAACTATAATTTCTGAAAAACGCTGTGGATTTCTGAATTAGTCGAGTTAATAGCTTATTTTATCATAAAGTTCTCACTCATAATGTCTGTTACACTTTTTCTCTTGTTGAAGAACAATTTCTGTGAGGGAAGTATCTTGGCTTCTCCCTTGAATTCCAGAAAATCTGATCCAGTTAGAGCCAAGTCTGAAAAGAAAAGTAAGAACAAACAAAGAAACACTGGAGATATTCAGAAGTAAGTGAACATGACTGTGAATTATTTATTGACTTCCTACTATATGCCAGTGTTTTCTGTTCATATAGACTACTGATTCTCAAAGTTTGGTCCATGAACTTTGTATGAAAATAGTCTGAGATTGAGGTACAGTGCAAAGAAGAGAGAGCTACTCACACACTTCCTCTTGGCTAGCATGAAGAGACAGGTGAAATCTGGCAGGCTTTTCCCTCAGCCACTTACTGTGGCAGATTTGTAGTTTATCTTACTGGCTTAGGATTTCTAGTTACCCTCATTTTCTCAAAATGAACCATTGGATTCCTTTTTCTCTTGGTTTAAATTCAAATGAGAAAAACTGGTCCCAGATTGGCTTATCTTCATTTAAGGAGTTTACAATCTGTCATCAGATTTCTTCTCTGTTATACAAAAAAGCATGAGCCAGGTAGTCAAAGGTGGAGTGATTGTGTTTTACCATAACACCCCTCCGGGATCAGGTACTTGGCAGAGTTGGTGGCTTATGCGAACATAAGCATTCCCATAGTAATTCATAGTTGGAAAGTTTAAAAACCACAATTTAGATTTGAAAAATATGTAAGGACTTCTGGTTCAGCTGAGTAAATTGTGCAGATAACTTACCTCCTTCCAGGATTTGTTGAAATTTTGGATCTGAGGTGGGAGGAAACAGCAGAAGAGTATGTTAAATGAGGCAGGTGCTATTAAAAAAAAAATGTGTGGCTCACGCCTGTAATCTCAGCACTTTGGGAGGCCAAGGTGGGCAGATCACAAGGTCAGGGGATCAAGATCATCCTGGCTAACACGGTGAAACCCCCTCTCTACTAAAAATACAAAAAGTTAGCTGGGTGTGGTGGTGGGTGCCTGTAGTCCTAGCTAATCTGGAGCCTGGGGCGGGAGAGTTGCCTGAACTTGGGAGGCAGAGGCTACAATGAGCCGAGATCACACCACTGAACTCCAGCCTGGGCGACAGAGTGAGCGAGACTCTGTCTCAAAAAAAAAAAAAAAAAAAAAAAAGTGACAATATCAGTGTTGCTAATACTCATGATATGCAAAGTAAAAATGAAGAGAAAACCACTGAAATGCAGAAGTATTTCTTATTGATATAATATTCTGCTTAAGGCTAGAAGTCATGAATCCTTATATATCTAAATATATACTTTGAAATATATTTTAAAAATTTACCAGAAATATAAGAATAAGGATTTAAAAGCAAAAATTGATAAACTGATGGATTAAAGTTGTAACAATATTAAAAACAAAGTCTGTTCTCTAGAATATGTGAAAACTCTTAAAACTCAACAACAAAAGACAAATAGTTAAAAACTGGACAAAGGGACTCAAGTGGATGTTTTCCCCATGATGTACAAATGTCCACTAAGTACATGAAAAGATGCCTCACATCATTAGTCATTAGGGAACTGCATATCAAAACCATAGTGAGATAGCATTTCATACGCATTAGGATGGCTATAACCCACAAAAAAGGGAAAATAGTAAGTGTTGACAAAGATGTGGAGAAGTTGGAATCCTTTTGCATTGCTGGTAGGAATGTAAAGTGGTGTAGTGGCTGTAGAAAACAGTTGGTGATTCCTCAAAAAGTTAAACCGAATTAGCATATGACCCAGCGATTCTACTCCTAGGTATGTACCCAAAAGAACTAAAAGCAGGTATTCAAATAAATACTTGTACATGAATATTTGTGTCAACGTTATTCAAATAACCAAAAAATGGAAACAGCCCAAATGTCTATTAATAAATGGATAAACAAAATGTGGCATTCCATTTTATGTGAATTCCACCTCAATTCAAAAATTTAAAAATGAATAACAGGATTATATAATTTTAAAATTAAGGAAAACTTCTAAACAGCTTGTTGATTACAGAGTAAATTTTGTTGGAAATACAGTACTGAAAACTGGTATGTGGCTAAAGTGGTATTTAGAAGGCTTTACATGCCATATCAGAAAAGAAGAAAGTGCAGCCAGGCATTGTGGTACATACCTGTAACACCTGCTATGTGGGAGGCTTAGGCAGGAGGATTGCTTAAACCCAGGAGTTGGAGTTTGAGACCAGCCTGGGCCACATAGCAAGATCCTGTCTCTTAAAAAAAATAAATAAACCTCAGACACAGTGGCTCATGCCTATAATCCCAGCACTTTGGGAGGCTGAGGTGGTAGGATTGCTTGAGGCTAGGAGGTCAAGACCAGCCTGGGCAACATAGTAAGACCCCTTCTCTACACAAAATAAGAAAATTAGCCAAGCACAGTGGCACATGCCTGTAACCCCAGCCACTTGGGAGGCTGAGGTGGGAGAATTGCTTGAGCCAGGAGGTCAACGCTGCAGTGAGCTATGATAATGCCGCTGCACTCCAGCCTGGGTGATGGAGCAAGATTCTGTCTCAAAAAAAAAAAAAAAAAAAGGCAGCGGCTGAAAATATATTTTAAAAAGCAGTTCCAGGAATACATTGCTGGTTTACTGTTAGAAAATGAATCAATGAAAATTCTTCTGTTAGCTGTATAAATATGAAATATATGAAATGATAATTCTTAACAAGGTGGTAACAGAAGGAAACTTTATTTAACCTTTTAAAAAGATACCTATTAAAAACTTATATCGCCGGGCGCGGTGGCTCAAGCCTGTAATCCCAGCACTTTGGGAGGCCAAGGCGGGTGGATCACGAGGTCAAGAGATCGAGACCATCCTGGTCAACACGGTGAAACCCTGTCTCTACTAAAAATACAAAAAATTAGCTGGGCATGGTGGCGCGTGCCTGTAATCCCAGCTACTCAGGAGGCTGAGGCAGGAGAATTGCCTGAACCTAGGAGGCGGAGGTTGCGGTGAGCCGAGATCGCGCCATTGCACTCCAGCCTGGGTAACAAGAGCGAAACTCTGTCCCCCCGTCAAAAAAAAAAAAAAAAAAAAAAACACCTTATATCACATATCATACTTAATGGTAGAACATTGAAATTCTTTCTTTTTTTTTTGAGACAGAGCCTTTCTTGCTCTGTCACCCAGGCTAGAGCACAGTGGTTCGGTCATGGCCCACTGCAACCTCATACTCCTGGGTACAAGCAATCCTGCCACCGCGGCCTCCCGAAGTGCTTGGATTGCAGGAGTGAGCCACCATGCCCAGCCATTCCCCTTCTAAGGTCAGGAATACACAAGGTTAGCCTGCTACTCACCACCTCTATTCAGACTTACACTGGAGATTTTAGTCTGCACAGTAACATAATAAAAGGAAATGAAACATGTGAGTCTGGAAAGGAAGGAAAAAGAAGCTATCACTATTCAAAGGAGGAATAATTATGTAGAAAACCCAAGAAATCAGAGGTGCATTTTTAGAATGAAGAGTTTAGCAAGGTTGCTAGTTATAAAATCTGTACCAAAAAATCAGTTGTAAAATGTAACTTTGAAAATAACTCTGTCGATAGTAGTATCAGGAAATAAAACATACTTAGAAATAAATGTATTAAAATCTGAGCCAAGCATGGTGGCTCATGCCTATAATCCCAGCACTTTGGGAGACTGGGGTGGGAGGATTGCTTGAGCCCAGGAGTTCAAGACCAGCCTGGGCAGCATAGGGAGACTCCATCTCTTAAAAAAATTAAAAAATCAATCAGGCATGATGACACACACCTGTAGTCTCAGCTACTCAGATGGCTGAGGCAGGAGGATCACTTGAGCTTGGAAGGTTGCGGCTGCAATGAGCTATGATTGTACCACTGCACTCTAGCCTGGGCAGCAGAGCAAGACCATGTCTTAAAAAAAGAAAAATCTGTAAGACCCATGGAGAAAATTTATATTCTATTAAATATACAATATTCATGGGTTAGAAGATGCCTAATACTACAAAATGGTCAGATCTCCTCAAATTGATCTATAGAGTCAATGCAAGTCGAGTCAGAATTCCAACTTTTTTTTAAATGCAACACACTGACTTTAATAAAATTCATATTGAAAAGATACTCCTGAAGAAAAATAAAATGTGGCTGGGTGTGGTGAATCGTTTGAGCTTGAGTCCAGGAGGGAGGGAGGGAGGGAGAGAGAGAGAGGTAATGAGGGACACTGGGGTGAACAGACAAATGGACTGAAGCAACAGAATAGGTACCTTAGAAACACACCACAGTTTAAGAATGTCTATCAAAATACCTATAGAGAATAAAAAGATAAGCTGCAGACTTCAAGAAGATATTTTAACTTCTTTAACTGACAAAAAGTTACTATTAAAGAATGTCCACCTATTAATGAGAAAAAGATGCTCCATAGAAAAATGAGCAAAGAACTTTGACTTCACGGTAAATGGAACCTGAAAGCTCATAAGTATGTGAAAAGGGCCGGGCACCATGGCCTGTAATCCCAGCACTTGGGAGGCCGTGGTGGGTGGATCACAAAGTCAGATGTTCAAGACCAGCTTGGCCAAGATGGTGAAACCTCGTCTCTACTAAAAATAGAAAAAATTAGCAGGGCATGGTGGCAGGCACCTGTAGTCCCAGCTACTCAGGAGGCTGAGGCAGGAGAATAGCTTGAACCTAGGAGGCAGAGTCTGTTGCAGTGAGTCATGGTCGTGCCACTGCACGCCAGCCTGGGCGACAGAGTGAGACTACATCTCAGGAGAAAAAAAAAAAAAGTGTGAGGCTAGGTGCAGTGGCTCATACCTGCAATCCCAGCAATTTGGGAAGCCAGGGCAGGTGGATTACTCGAGCCCAGGAGTTTGAGACCAGCCGGGGCAACATGGGGAAACTGTCTACAAAAAATACAGAAATTAGCAGGGGGACGGTGGCATGCGCCTGTGGTCGCAGCTATTTGGGAGGCTGAGGTAGGAGGATTGCTTGAGCCTGGGAGGTCAAAGCTGCAGTGAGCCATGGTGATGCTACTGCACTCCAGCCTTGGTGAGAGAGTGAGACCCTGCCTCAAAAAATAAAATAATGGCCAGGTGTTGTGGCTCACGCCTGTAATCCCAGCACTTTGGGATGCCAAGGGGGGGGCAAATCACCTGAGGTCAGGAGTTCAAGACCAGCCAGGCCAACATGGCGAAACCCTGTCTCTACCAAAATTACAAAAATTAGCTGGGTGTGGTGACAGACACCTGTAATCCCAGCTACTGGGAGGCTGAGACAGGAGAGTTGCTTAAACCCAGGAGGCGAAGGTTGCAGGGATCAGAGATCGTGCCATTGCACTCCAGTCTGGGCGACAGAGTGAGACTATCTCCAAACTAAATAAATAAATGAAATAAATAAGATAGTGTGTGTTACATAGAAATCATATATATATATATTTAAATTGGTTATAAATGTTAGAAGGAAAACTGTAGACAAATTAACAGAGTTTAATTAAGCAAAGGACAATTCACAAATTAGGTAGCCTCCCGAGTCAGAGTAGGCTTAGAGAGACTGCAGTAAAACCACATGTTGGAAGATTTATGGACAGAAAAGGGAAAGCGCTGAACGGAAAGCAGAGGTGAGGTGCAGAAACAGCCAGAGTGGTTGGTTATTACAGCTCGGCATTTACCTTATTTGAACATGATTTCAAGTTGGCCCCATTTGGCCAAAACTTGGTGAGTGTACGGACTGTTTACACCTCCACTTTAGGCTATAGTTCACTATGTAGAGAGAAACCTTAAAATATGTAAGGAGGCAGCTTTAGGCCAAACTTAACACGTAAAGGAAATGGGAATGGCAAGCAAATGGGAATGGATTCCAAAAATTCAGACTCAAGGTAAAAAGAAAAAGAAAATTCTTAAAATATGAGTCGGGAAAGGGTTGATGACATAAATGTCCTGTATTTCTGTTTTGTTTAAGAGACAGGGTCTCACTGTCACTTAGGCCATAGTGGCAAGAGAATAGCTCACTGCAGCCTCAAACTCTTGGGCTCAAGTGATCCTCCCACCTCAGCCTCCAGATTAGCTAGGACTATAGGCAACACCATTATGCCCAGCTAATTTTTTTTTCTAATTTTTTGTAGAGATGGGTCTTGCTTTGTTGTCCAGGTCTCAAACTCCTGGCCTCAAATGATCCTCCCACCTCAGCCTCCTAAACTGTTAGAATTACAGGCATGAACCACCACAGCCAGTTCTGCTTATTTTTTAGAAGAAGCATGTATTCATACATTACTTGGTTATTATAAATGAGGAATATTCAAGAGAGTTAATGAATCTTGACTGATTCTGTTGGATAAGTCATAACATTTTGTTCTCTGCTTATGAACTTAAAAACAATTGTAGCAATGATACTTTGGTACTGATAAACTTAGTAACTAGTGGTCTAGCATTGGCATTGGCAGAAGGAATTCTTCAGCCTTGAGAAACTAAATGAGACAGCTTCTTTTCAACTGAAAATTTGGCTCTTGTTCTTCAAAGTTTACAGAGTAAATATATAGATTGGTATAACTAAATATCTTTAGATACTCTTGTTTGCCCGTAAGGAATATTCATTAGTTCTTTATATGAGATCTCTGTCTAGATTTTATTGTTCCATATGCTACTTGTTGGTGCTTTTGACACAGTGTAACTTATGAATTTGTGTATTATTTGTAGTCACTTTTTTCTTTTTTTTTTTTTTTCCTTTAATTCTAAATGTAATAATAGCTTGCTGCTCTTTGAAAATCACCGAAAGTTACCACCATTTGGAGACAACTAACATTTTGGGAGATTTCTGCCACTTTTAAACATAGTAATTTAAACAAATTTGTACGTTTTTGGATATTTTGTGATTTTTATTTATTTATATATTTTTTCAAATCTCAGTGTATAAAAAGCAAAGCAGTACAATTTTTAAACTATACCTACCATCTTGTACCCTGCCTTTTTTATTCTCCCCCTTTTTAAATAACGTTTTCCATTACATTAAAAACTTAATGTTTTCAGTGGCAAACAGCTTATTAAAGATTCTTAGAAATGCAAAGATATGTATATTTCTAGGAAGAGAGTTGAGGGCCAGGCACAGTGGCTCATGCCTGTAATCCTAGCACTTTGGGAGGCTGAAGCAGGCAGATGACCTGAGGTCAGTACTTCGAGACCAGCTTGGCCAACATGGTGAAACCCCGTCTCTACTAAAAATACAAAAATTGGCCGGGTTCATTGGCTCAACCACCTGTAATCCCAACACTTTGGGAGGCCAAAGCAGGTGGATCACGAGGTTAGGAGATCAAGACCATCCTGGTGGCCAACATGGTGAAACCCCGTCTCTACTAAAAATACAAAAATTACCTGGGCATGGTGGTGTGCACCTGTAGTCCCAGCTACTTGGGAGGCTGAGGCAGGAGAATCGCTTGAACCCGGGAGATGGAGGTTGCAGTGAGCCAAGATCATGCCACTGCACTCCAGGCTGAGCTACAGAGTGAGACTGTGTCTCAAAAAAAAAAAAAAAAACAATAAAAATAAAAAACAATAAAAATAAAAATACAAAAATTAGCCAAGCATGCTGGCACATGCCTGAACTCACAGCTACCTGGGAGGCTAAAGCAGCAGAATCACTTGAACCTGGGAGACAGAGGTTGCAGTAAGCTGAGATTGTACCACTGCACTCCAGCCTGGGTGACAGAGCAAGACTCCGTCTCAAACAAAAAAAAGAGAGTTGATATAAAAATACATATAATAACGTCTTTGTACCGGGATAGTAAAGAATATAATCATGGACTTTTTCCCAATAGTAGAGATTTAAAATGTAGAGAACAGCCAGCATTTCTGGCATAAAGAAGAAACTAACATATCCTTTCTCCTGGCTTAAAGCATCATTTTCATTACTTTTGGGAAGACTATAGAGTCTTGCATTGTTTTGATGCTGTCTGCTTATTGATTATTTATTTATTCAAAAAATTTATTTGCACTATATATGAAGTTTAAAAAAGTTTTTTTTTTTTTTATTGTACTTTAGGTTCTGGGGTATATGTGCAGATCATGCAGGATTGTTGTATAGGTACACACATGGCAATGTGGTTTGCTGCCTCCATCCCCTGTCACCTACATCTGGCATTTCTCCCCATGTTATCCCTCCCTGACCTGCCCACTCCCCCGCTGTCCCTGTGTTCTCATTGTTCAACATATTGTTCTCATTGTTCAACAGTGTGTGTTGTTCCCCTCCCTGTGTCCCTGTGTTCTCATCGTTCAACGTATTTATTTATTATTTTGAGACACAGTCACACTGTTGCCCAGGCTGGAGTGCAGTGGCGTGATCTTGGATCACTGCAGTCTCTGCCTCACAGGTTCAAGACATTTGTCTGCCTCAGCCTCCCAAGTAGCTGGGATTACAGGCACCCACCACCACGCCCAACTAATTTTTTGTATTTTTAGTAGAGATGGGGTTTCACTATTTGGCCAGCTGGTCTCAAGCTCCTGACCTTGTGATCCACCCACCTCGGCCTCCCAAAGTGCTGGGTTTACAGGCTTGAGCCACTGTGCCCTGCCCCTGATATCTGCTTTTTAAAGCTTTTTTCAAGAATTAGGAAATATTTAGGTCAGGCACGATGGCTCATGCCTGTAATCCCAGCACTTTGGGAGGCCAAGTCAGGTGGATCATGAGGTCAGGAGTTTGAGGCTAGTCTGACCAACATGATAAAAATCCATTTCTACTAGAAACACAAAAATTAGCTTGGCCTGGTGGCACACGCCTGTAATCCCAGCTACTTGGGAGGCTGAGGCAGGAGAATCGTTTGAACCCAGGAGGTGAAGGTTGCAATGAGCCAAGATCATGCCATTGCACTTCAGTCTGGACAACAGAGTGAGACTTCATCTCAAAAAAAAAGAAAAGAAGAAATATTTAGATTTGGCTTTTGCTTCCTTTTCTGTTTTTCACTTAAATATCAATACTCAACCATTTAAGTTTTGTCCTGGAATTAGACCAAAATACCTGAAGCACCAAAATGAAATACACTCTGATAAATCAGTCAAGCAGCAAACCAGACAACCTTTGGTATAAATCGTTAATTTGGCTTTATTATGTTGGTACATACTGTCTGTCTTTCAAAGCATTCAAACTTTGGTGAACTCTTTTTTAAGGTATTTGACACCTAAATCTCAGTTTGGGTCAGATTCACACTCTGAAGTTGTACAAGAAGTCAGGAAAAACTCCATATCTAAGGTATGTTGATACTGAAGATGTTCTGAGTTTTGCTGGTTTATTAATGCTATAGATTACTAACACCCGTAGTGTTCTAACTTTAAAAAAAAGCCACTGTTGTTGGCTGGCCACATTGGCTCACGCCTGTAATCCCAGCACTTTCAGAGGCTGAGGCGGGCGGATCACGAGGTCAAGAGATTGAGACCATTTTGGCCAACATGGTGAAACCCCGTCTCTACTAAAAATACAAAAATTAGCTGCGTGTGGTGGCATGTGCCTGTAGTTCCAGCTACTCGGGAGGCTGAGGCAGTGGGATCACTTGAACCCGGGAGACAGAGGTTGCAGTGAGCCAAGATCACACCACTGCACTCCAGTCTAGCCTGGCGACAGAGTGAGACTCCGTCTCCAAAAAAAAAAAAAAAAAAAAGCCACTGTAGTTAATCAAAACACTCTTAGTCATCTTAGGCTCACCTAGAGAAAAAGCACTTTTTCTTTTTCTCTAAAGGAAACTTTACAATTTTTAAAATACACTTAATACAGAAAGCAAATCTACCTTAAAAAGCAAAGTTTTTCTCTAATGGGCTAGAGAGTAAATATTTTAGCCTTTGTGGTTAGTATGGTCTGTGTCACAACGTCTTATATTGTGAAAGTGTCTGTAGATAATATGTACACAAATTAGCTTGTATGTATTCCAGTAAAACTTCGTATACAAAAACAGGCAGAGGCTGGATTTGGTCCATGAACCATAGATTACTGATCCTTGAACTATGTATGTAATCCAAACTGACAAAACTGAATAGGTTATACCTGGCACCAGCTTCACTTAGAGTATTACAAGATGGGAAGCTGGGCACAGTGGCTAATGCCTGTAATCCTAGCACTTTGGGAGGCCGAGGTGGGTGGATCATCTGAAATCAGGAGTTTGAGATGACCCTGGCCAACGTGGTAAAACCACATCTCTACTAAAAATACAAAAAAAAAAAAAAAAAAAAATAGCTAGGTGTGGCACACACCTGTAGTCTCAGCTACTCAGGAAGCTGAGGCAGGAGAATCACTTGAACCTGGGAGGCAGAGGTTGCAGTAGCTAAGATCATGCCACTGCACTCCAGTCTGGGCAACAGAGTAAGACTCTGCCTCAAAAAAAAAAAAAAAAAAAAAAAAAAAAAAAAATATTACAGGATGAGGGGAAAAGTGCGCCAGTAAGGCAGCATCAGGCATGTGTGTTCAGCAGGAGTCCTCAACAGCCAAGCTCCAAAGTGGTACCCTGGAAATAAGACCACACAAGTGAGTGTATTAACTACTTTGAAGATGCATACTCTGTAAGTGTGAGTTATTTCTTGTAACAAACAACGGGTGTAGCTTCCAGGGGTTTTGGTAAGAAACACACCCAGCCAACAGTTATGTTACTTAAGAAGTCCCAAGCTTTGTCTTCCAAACACTAGGTGGTTTTGGTTTGTTTTGTTTTCCTTGTTTGTTTTGTTTTGTTTGTTTTTTGAGAGAGAATCTCTGTTGCCCAGGCTGGGGTGCCGTGGATCCTCAGCTTCCCTGGTAGCTGGGACTACAGGCTTACACCCCCATGCCCGGCTAATTTTTGTACTTTTAGTAGAGATGGAGTTTCACCATGTTGGCCAGGCTGGTCTCAAACTCCTGACCTCAGGTGATCTGCCCATGTCGGCCTCCCAAAGTGCTGGAATTACAGGCATGGGCCACCGTACCCAGTCATGTTACAGATATCTTTAAATATCATTCATACTTCTCTCTACTTTGATATTAGACTGCAGTTACACCTTGTGGCAAAACAGAGTGGGTGTAGTACATCAGGGATGACACAGACAATTAGATATTATGAGTTATTAGATTGGCTAGTAGATCTTATTTAGTGTGTTAATAGATGCACATTATTACATCACATTTTAAAAATCTTTTAATAATTGTGTTGCAATATTGTTCCTTTTGTAAAGCCACTATATATCTAAATTTTTTACCTAAAAACATTATTCTCAAAAGTTGTCTGTAAGCTTCACCTAAATACCAAAAGGAAGGTCCACAGCACAGAAAAGGGTTAAAAACCACTGTGCTGGCAAACCTTTGTAAGGTGAAAAGAGGTCAGGTCCTGATACCAGCTATTGGCCATATTTGGAATCTACTCTGGGTTTTAATCTGTAGTTTTCCATGGGAGTGAAAGTGAAGTAATATATGACTTCATCTAAATTGGCCCATGAAATAAAAATACTATTAAGAATAAATATGGGTGGGTGTGATGGCTCACACCTGTAATCCCAGCACTTTGGGTGGCCAAGGTGGGCAGATACCTGAGTTTAGGAGTTTGAGACCAGCCTGGCCAACACTGTGAAACTCCATCTCTACTAAAAATAAATTAGCCAGGTGTGGTGACACACACCTGTAGTCTCCACCACCCGGGTTCAAGCAATTCTGAGGCAGGAGAATCACTTGAACCCGGGTAGTGGAGGTTACAGTGAGCCAAGATCACATCACTGCACTCTAGCCTGGGCAACAGAGTGAGACTCCGTCTCAAGAAATTAAATAAACAAACAAACAAACACCTACTTGGGAGGCTGAGGCGGGAGAATCGTTTAAACCTGGGAGGTGGAGATGGCAGTGAGCTGAGATCGCACCACTGCACTCCAGCCTGGGTGACAGAGCAAGACTCTGTCTCTAAATAAATAAACAAACCTTATTAGTGATACTGAATAATGTATACTAACAGGTCAGCTATAGTATCAGTGTAATTAGACTTGCATCTTATGATTCAATATTTTCCCTTAGTTCACTCAGTCTTTTTCTGTTTTCTACAGGACATTGACAGTAGTGATATCAAAAGCCCAACATGCCAAGACACAGAAATAGAAGATATGCCAACACTTTCTCCACAGGTATGCCTTGGAATTGGAGAACAAGGTGCAGATTCTTCAATAGAATCCCCCATGCCATGGTTATGTGCCTGTGGTGCTGAATTGTACCACGAAAGAAAAGTCAAAACAGGGCCACACAATCATGATAAAGAGTATGTCTTAACTCCCAAGGGACCTGAAACCAGAGATCCCAACTCTAAAGAAACTGCGGTTGTGCCTATTGGCAGAACACAGAGTGAGTGTGCCACATCAGGGATTACACAGACAAACGGAAACAGCACAGGTGAGACGGAAAACGAAGAGTCTTGCCTACCGATCAGTAAGGATATTTCCAAAAGAAAAAACCAAGAATCTTCCTTTGAAGCAGTCAAGGATGCATGCTTTTCTGCAAAAAGAAGGAAGATGTTCCCCAACTCTTCCTCAGATCAAGAGGAAACAGAAACAAACTTTACCCAAAAACTGATAGACTTGGAGCATCTCCTGTTAGAGAGACATAAACAAGAAGAACAGGACAGGTTATTGGCATTACAACTACAGAAGGAAGTGGACAAAGAACAAATGAAGCCAAACCGGCAAAAAGGATCCCCTGATGGGTATCACTTACGTGCTACATCCTCACCTCCAGACCAAGTGCGAAATGGACAGAGGAAGAATTCCAAAGATAGGAACTTCGAAAGGCAAACTGATACAGAGCACCCCAAACCTGAGAGAAGCTCAAGGGACGAAAATAGGCAACTGTCTGTTAGGACGCAGCTGAAGCATTCAGTTAATGGACGAAAGACGCCAAATGCTACTAGAGATCATTGTAATGTAACCAGAAGTGCTCATTCCCTACAGCCAAACATTTCACAGAAAAGCATTTTTCAGATGTTTCACAGATGTCCAAAGTAATGCATGCCTTTAAAGGGAGTGCTTTGTAATCTAGTAAAGCTGGATTGTGAAGCTCTTTTCTATCACAGTCTTTATACATGTGTCATTCATGCTGCTCTCTAGGTACACTCATTGTCCTTAATTAAAGGTCTGTGTGGTTGTAAGGACAATACCTTATGCTTTGGCCAACTCCAAGAAGTCTTGGTGTCATTCGTTTTCCAAAAAATGCATGTTTTTTGGCCTTTGCTCACTTTTTTGTCATGACTGGTAATCAAATCAAGATTATACTATTCTAAGTAATTAAGGAACCCATGCAGGGTTTAAAATCCACATTTTCTTGGCTATTGTCCCACATTTACAGAGTACTCAAAATGTATTTTCCTGAAGTGATCTAATTTCCATCTCCAATTTAAATTTTCAGCATTGTAGCGATTCCTTTGGTGATTTTTTGTTTTTAAACCAAGTTTTGCTCTGTTGTCCAGGCTGCAATGCAGTTGTGAAATCTCAGCTCACCGCAACCTCCGCCTCCCAGGTTCAAGCGATTCACCTGCCTCAGCCTCCCGAGTAGCTGGGATCACAGGTGTGCGTCACCATGCCCAGCTAAAATTTTTTGGTATTTTCAGTAGAGATGGGATTCTCTTGCACTCCTGACCTCAGGGGATCCACCTGCTTCGGCCTCCCAGAATGCTGGGATTACAGGCATGAGCCACCATGCCTGGCCTATTTCCTTTCATTTAAAATGGATTAGAATCAGTGTTAAATCAGACAATCAGGGCTTTCTAGGAAATTGAGCATTTGTTGCCAGAAATGAAACTAGACTATGCAAAAGGAGTTAAGAGCTGGGATGAGGCTGGATGGGGTGACTGACGGTCTGGGATCATTGCAACTGAAAGGGTGCTCAGAAACTGGTCCAGGGTGAAGCAGTAGGTGCAGTTTGGCAGAACATCCTCCTCCCTTGTCTTTCCTTTGTGAAACAACACAGGAGACATTTGGGTTTTGTAGCTTTTCACACCATACTATCGGGTGTCAAAATAAAAATTAGTTACTAAATTGTGTGGATTTTTGGAAACCTGCATTTCTGTTCATCTGCTATTCTAGAAAAAAACGAGATTATAGGAGAGTTATATCACAGTATCTTATGTTATGGAACCTGAAACATTACCGTGTATTTTCTTTTATTATCATTTGTTTTGATGCTGCTCTTATTTGAGTTTATGAACAGAAATAGAAAATAGGATGCTTGGGTTTTGCCCTTTCTTACTCCTGAAAGTTAAATCAGAAGACACTGATTTCATTTTGTGAAATTTAGCTCAGAGACGGTTGATCTTTTGTTTCATTAATTAGTAACGAACAGGCAGCTTTAACATCTCTGCTGACACCTAGTCGTCTGTTCTTCTAATGGGAAAATACGATAAAGTGTCCTAGAGCTAATTCTAGCTTAAATTTGCCAGTATTTTTGTATGTCATTAAGACTTTTTCCTCCAAGTTTTGTAATAGAAATTTTGTTACTCTTTGCATACTTGATGGCATCTGTATCAATTTTGATTGGTTAATTATAAATTCTATGCTAATTTAAAATTTAATTTACGTCTTAAGGTGATTGCTCTCTGAGTAACGATTGTAGTCAAATGAAGTACAGTTTGCAACTATACTGTCACATTGATTGTTAAGTAAAAATAAACTAACCAAATGTGTCTAAAACAGACCAAGATCAGTTTTCTCATCAAATCAGTATTTCTCTTAAGAGCAGTTTCACTTCATGTTTTAGAGTGGACATTCTTGGAATTCCTCAAATTAAAAGCTATTTAATCTGCCTGGAATAGTCTGTGACCAAAAAAGAATGGAAAAACAGCCTATCATGTGGTATATTTAGGATTTATATATTCAGCTATTTGTCTGTGAAGAAGTCTTCCTGACTAAAATTGGTTTCAAGATAAACTAATTTCTCTATTAGTATTTCTGCTGTTCTTACCATGTATCCTGTTTTTGTTAGAAACTAATAAATGTATTAGTTATTGGAATGTACTGCTACTTTTTCCTCTCAGTTTTGTGGAAGGGATATGAAAACGTTTAATTTCTCAGGGAGTACTAAGGCGGTGCAGAGGCTGGAATCTGAAAAATAAAATATTAAAAATAAAAATGGACTATTATGTGTATTTTACCACAACTCAAAAGTATGTAAAAATTGGCTACATAAAAACTAAAAGTTCCACATGATAAAAACTACCATCAAGGGAAATTGGAAGCTGTGGCAAGCTTGGGAAGAAATAGTTGCAACTCATCACAAAGAGCTAATTCCTTTATGTAAAGTATCTGCCAGTTCTTTAAGAAAAAGACCAATAACTCAGCTGGGCATGGTAGCTGACGCCTATAATCCCAGCACTCTCGGAGGCCCAGGCAGGTGGATCACCTGAGGTCAGGAGTTTGAAACCAGCCTGGCCAACATGGTGAAACCCTGTCTCTACTAAAAATATAAAAATTAGCCAGACGCGGGGGCGTGGTGTACCTGTAATCCCAGCTACTCGGGAGGCTGAGGCACAAGAATCGCTTGAACCCGGGAGGCTGAGGTTGCAATAAGCCAAGATTGCGCCACTGCACTCCAGCCTTGGCAACCACGTGAGACTCGATCTCAAAAAAAAAAAAAAAAGTAAAAGACTCTAGGTGTGGTGCTTATACCTGTGGTGCTTAATCCCAGCACTTTGAGAGACTGAGGTGGGCACGTTGCTAGAGCTCAGGAGTTTGAGACCAGCCTGGGCAACACGGTGAAACCCCTTCTCTACAAAAAATACAAAAATTAATTAAGTGTGGTGGTGCACACCTGTAGTCCCAGCTACTTGGGATGTTGAAGTGGGAGGATCGCTTAAGCCTGGGAGGTGGAGGTTACAGTGAGCTGAGATTCTAAGATTGTACCACTGTACTCCAGCCTGCTTGACAGTGAGACTCTGTCTTAAAAAAGGAAGGAAGGGAGGGAAGGAAAGAGAAAGGAAGGAGGGAAAGAAGAAAGAGAAGAAAAGGAAGAAAATAGCATTGTGAGGAATTTTTGACTGACTTAGCTTTAGTGAATTATTTCTAAGTTATTTAAAAAGCAAAACATTTTTCAGATTGGATTGCCACACACTTCCAATTCTGTGAACAATGGAGAAGCCAGATAAAATATGAAATTGTCTGCTTTAAAACATTGGTGAGCTACTGAAACAATGAGGGTCAAAGGGGCTAAGATTCTGGAGAGGGGAGACTTAAGAGGCAAACTGATGTTTGCAATCACTTTTTTCTCTGCTAGTATGAGCTACTTTGTAAGATAAGGCTGGGTGAGGTGGCTCATGCCCTTAATACCAGCACTTTGGAATGCTGAGGCAGGAGGATCACTTGAGCACAGGAGTTAAAGACCAACCTGGGCAACACAATGAGAATCCATCTCTTCAAAAAGTTTAAAAATTAGCCAGGTGTGGTACGCATCTGTAGTTCCAGCTACTTGGAAGGCTGAGGTGGGAAGATCGCTTGAGCCTGGGCGTTTGAAACCCACTTGGGCAACATAGTGAGATCTTGTCTCTACAGAAAAAAAAAAAAGGGGAAATTGAACTATAGAATCAGTAAGTTTTTTTTTTTTGAGAGAGAGAAAGTTTTACTCTGTCCCCAGGCTGGAGTGCAGCTGTGCAATCATAGCTCACTGCAACCTCCAACTCCTGGACTCTAGTAATCCTTCTGCCTCAGCCTCCCAAGTAGAGGGCTCGCTGGGGCTACAGGAACATGCCACAACACCCTGCTAATGAAACAAAAAATTACTTACTTGAGTTCAGAGGATTACTTCCATATCCTTGATAAAAAGTCCTTTATCAGATATATGATTTGCAAATATTTTCTACTAGTCTGTGACTTCTGTTTTATTCTCTTAGTGTCTTTTGAAGAGCACACCTTCTTAATTTTGGTGGAGTCCAAGTAATTGATTTTTTCTTTTATGGATTATGCTTTTGGTGTCTTAACTAAGAAATCTCTGTTTACCCTAATGTCATATAGGTTTTTTTCTCCTATGTTTTCTCCTAGAAATTTTATAATTTTAGGTTTTACATTTAGGCCCATGATTGATGAGTCTATATTATGGAAGTAATCCTCTGAACTCAATAGTAAGAAAATACACAGCCCAATTTTGTAAAAAATTGACAAAATATGTGAGAAAACACTTCATTAAAGAAGGCATATGGATGGCAAGTAAGCATGTGAAAATACGTTCAATGTCATTAGTTCACGAGGAAATGCAAACTGAAATCACAAGCAGATACCACTTCATATTCATTAGAATGGCTGAAAGTAAAAAAATTAGCCGGGGCTAGCGGCAAACGCCTGTAATCCTGGCTATTGGGGAGGCTGAGGCCGGAGAATCGCTTGAACCCAGGAGGCGGAGGTTACAGTGAGCCAAGATTGCGCCATGGCACTCCAGCCAACTCCAGCCTGAGCGAGATTCGTACCAAGAACTGACCATACTGAGAACTTAGGCTAATGTGAAACAATTGTAGATTGTTTCACCAATCTACAATTGGTAGATTATATCCTCAATTGTTTCACCAACGCAGCAGATGAGGATACAAATACATTTTTTTGCATATTTTCCCAATGGAGCCTTTGGAAGCAGTGAGAATGAATGAACTACAACTGCAAGTAATATCGCCAACATAACGTTGAATAAAAGAAACCAAACACAAAATACTATATTCTGTATGACAGGTTAGCATTTTTAGAAGCTAACCTGTCGTGTTTGAAGTTCGGAGAGTTACTACTATTCTTAGGGTGGTAGCTTACTGGAAAGGCGCACAAAATGAGAACTTTTCTGTATGTCAGGCTCTATTTGAAAAGATAAAAATAAATCTAAGTGAGATGGGAGAGGTAGGAGAGGAGATGGAATATGCTCCAGCTCTCTAGTTCTGCCCCGTTGGGCTGCGGTGTTTAGAATGTGAACCAGCTCCATCTAGTGGACAAATGTAGAAGCGCATGTAAGCCTTCTTTACATGCACTTCTACATTTGTCCACTGGGTGGGGCTGCTTCACATTACTTGCATGTGATAGCAAGATGACTGGTCTCTCTTGGGAGCCTCAGATAGTGGCAGCTAATTTGGGGTGTGGGGTGCAGATCTTGGGCTCAGAAATAAAATAGAGTATCCAAGAAGAGTCTGAGGTCAGCCTTTCTGTCCTGCTACAGAGCGCTGGGTTCTGCCAGGCTGAGAGACACATGTGACTTCTCTAGTGGGAGGGATAGGAAGCAGAGAGAAAGGTGGACCCTATCCCAGCTGAGGATCAGGCACTGTCTGCCTCACTAGGAAGTCCAGCTGAGATAGGAAATCACCTTTACTCAGGTGCTCAATGCTAATCTCATAAGGTAGGTAGTAATCCCCATTTTTCAGGTGAGACAACCGAGGCCCAGGCAGCTTGGCTTGTA